CTATATAACACACACACACACACACAACAAACAAACAAACACACACACACACAGGTGAATCGCTATATGCCACCGCATCGCAGATGCTGCGGTGGCATAATAAAAACACGCAATTCTATAAATAGAAACAAGCAATTCTATAAATAGAAACATGCAATTCTAAAAATAGTAACACGCAATTTTAAAAATAGAAACACGCAATTTCTATAAATAGAAACATGCAATTCTATAATTTAGAAACAAGCAATTCTAAAAATAGAAACACGCAATTCAAAAAATAGAAACACGCAATTCTAAAACAAGAGCACCGCTAGGCGGAGCATTATATGCCCGAAAGTACTTTTTCTTTTAGTGAGGAAGACATGGGAATTAAATACAGTATTACCTACTTCAAAAAGCAATCCTCCTTTATAGCTGAAGAACATTCATGTATATATACAGTTGCTGTTTTCAAAGCACCACCATCAAGTTGTTATCTTGTAAGTAAAAATGCTACAACGGATGGACACCAAGACGTCAGGGGTATAAAGCTGTTAATCCTATAAAATTTTACAGCTGTTGTTCGATTAATACTTGAATTATTGAGCGAAAACTGTTTCCAGTTTAAAGGTGATAGTAATCCCTTGATCTTTGACCTTGTGACCACAAAATCAATAGCGGTCTTCTACCCAATATGAACAATCATCCTATGAAGTTTGAATACTGTGGGCCAAATGGAACTAAAGTTATGCTCCGGAAACCATTTTCAGTATAAAGCTAATAGTGACCTTGACCTTTGACCTTGTGACCCAAAAATCAATAGGGGTCTTCTACCCAATATGGACAATCATCCTATGAAGTTTGAATACTGTGGGTCAAATGGAACTTAAGTTATGCTTCGGAAACCATTTTACATATTTAGCTAATAGTGACCTTGACCTTTAACCTTGTGACCCTAAAATCAATAGGGGTCTTCTACCCAATATGGACAATCATCCTATGAAGTTTGAATACTGTGGGCCAAATGGAACTTAAGTTATGGTCCGGAAACCATTTTCAGTATTAAGCTATTAGTGACCTTGACCTTTGACCTTTTGACCCCAAAATCAATAGGGGTCTTCTACTTAATATGGGCAATCATCCTATGAAGTTTGAATACTGTGGGTCAAATGGAACTTAAGTTATGGTCCGGAAACCATTTTCAGTATTTAGCTTATAGTGACCTTGACCTTTGACCTTGTGTCCCCAAAATCAATAGGGGTCTTCTACCCAATATGGGCAATCATCCTATGAAGTTTGAATACTGTGGGCCAAATGGAACTTAAGTTATGCTCCGGACACCATTTTCAGTATTTAGCTAACAGTGACCTTGACCTTTGACCTTGTGACCCCAAAATCAATAGGGGTCTTCTACCCAATATGGGCAATCATCCTATGAAGTTTGAATACTGTGGGCCAAATGGAACTTAAGTTATGCTCCGGAAACCAAATTGCTAAAGGACGGACGGACGGACGTACGGACGGACGCCACGGGGTATAACATAGTATGCCAGAAATTCTTTCGGGCATATAAAAAGAAACACGCAATTCTTAAAATAGAACACGCAATTCTAAAAATAGAAACACGCAATTTCTATAAATAGAAACACCTAATTCTATAAATAGTAACACGCAATTCTAAAAATAGTAACACGCAATTCTAAAAATTGTAACAAGCAATTTCTAAAAATAGAAACACACAATTCTAAAAAGAGTAACACGCAATTTTAAAAATTGTAACAAGCAATTTCTAAAAATAGAAACACGCAATTCTAGAAATAGAAACACGCAATTCTAAAAATAGTATCACACAATTCTAAAAATAGTAACATGCAATTCTAAAAATAGAAACACGCAATTTCTATAAATAGAAACACCTAATTCTATAAATAGTAACACGCAATTCTAATAGAAACACGCAATTCTATAAATAGAAACAAGCAATTCTATAAGTAGAAACATGCAATTCTATAAATAGTAACACACAATTCTAAAAATAGTAACACGCAATTCTAAAAATAGAAACACGCAATTTCTAAAAATAGAAACACCTAATTCTATAACAAGAGGGCCATGATGGCCCTGAGGTCGCTCACCTGTATAAAGGCCCCCCAACCCCCAACGTTGCAGGGCCAATTTAACCCAAGGGCTTTTATTTGCACAAACTTGGTAGACACCCATAAGAAGATGTTTCATGCTAAACACCTAAGCTCTAGCTCATTGGGCTTTTTAAAAGAAGATTTTTTTAAAGTTTTTACTATACACATGTAGTTAAAAGCAATGACACCCCTGGGGCCAGGCCAGTTTTGACCCCAGGGCTTTTATTTGAACAAACTTTGTAGACACTTACTAGAAGATGTTTCATGCTTAATATCTAAACTCTAGCTATTTGGTTTTTTTCAAAGAAGATTTTAAGTTTTTGCTATACACATATAAAGAAAATCAATGACTCCCGGGGCGGGGCCAATTTTGACCCCAGGGCTTTTATTTGAACAAACTTTGTAGACACTCATTAGAACATGTTTCATGCTAAATATCTTAGCTCTAGCTCTTTGGGTTCTTTAAAAGAAGATTTTTTAAGTTTTTACTATATGCATATAGGGAAAATCAATGACCCCCTGGGGCGGGGGCCAATTTTGACCCCAGGGCTTTTATTTGAACAAACTTGGTAGACACTCACTAGAAGATGTTTCATGCCAAATATCTAAGCTCTAGCTCTTTGGGTATTTTAAAAGAAGATTTTTTAAGTTTTTTCTTTTGGTTGCCATGGCAACCAGAGTTCTGCATGGAATTAAATTCTTTGAACAATTTTTAAAGGTGACCACCAAAGGAACATTCCTGTGAAGTTTAGATGAAATTGGCTTAGTGGTTTATGAGGAGATGTCATTTAAAGTAAAAGTTTACGGACGGACGCCGGACGAAAAGCGATCACAAAAGCTCACCCTGTCACTTTGTGACAGGTGAGCTAAAAAGACAACATTTTTTTCATAAAAATTCTAAGTTCAAGGGAGGTAATTCTGATAACATTTGTGCTAGAGTTGTAAACCTTGTCACATATGATGTGGTTGATGACCAGAAACTTATATTTAAAGTTTGAAGTAAACACCTTAAGAAACAAGGGTGCCATAGTCACAAAATACGCCCGTTTACGAAAGCTGTAGATGGAGATGGGGGCATTATGGATAAGTGTTATCTAGCAAGCAAGTTTTTATTCTTGGCACTGTGTTGTTAAATGAACCTTTAAACAAATCAGTAGGGAAGATATGCACAGGATGTGTGACCTTGACCTTGGTCGCAGGGACCTGAATTGTATGCACAGCACTCAGCCTCACAATGATGAACATTTGTGCCAAATTATATTGAAATCCCTCTATGCATGTAGAAGTTTTGCTCCAGACAAGTGTTTTTCTATGAGCTCTAACTGTGACCTTCACCTTTGACCTAGAGACTTGGTTCATGTGCAGGGCACTACGTCTCATGGTGGTGAACAATTCTATAAATTAACATTAAAATTCCACCATGCATGTAGAAATATGCTCCGGACAACATCTGGATATTTAATCATCTCCAGTGACCTTGACCTTGCAAATATTAACCTAAATTAAATGTGTCACACCTGTAGACCTGGATCATGCATGGAGCAATACATATCATGGTGGTGAACATTTCCATAAAGTATTATAAAAATTCTTCCATACATGTAGGAGATATGCTCCAGACAAAATCTGGATATTTCACCATCTTTAATGACCTTGACCTTGCATTTGTGCCAAGTTATATTGAAATCCCTCTATGCATGTGGAAGTTTTGCTCCGGACAAGCGTTTTTCAATGAGCTCTAAGTGTGACCTTGACCTTTGACCTAGTTCATGTGCGTGACATGGCTTCTCATAATGGTGAACATTCTATGAAATTTCATTAAAATCCCTCCATGCGTGTAGGAGATATGCTCCGGACAAAATCTGGATATTTCATCATCTTTAGTGACCTTGTATATATTGACCTAAATTATATGTATCAAAGCCATAGTCTTGATAATGACCATTTGTGTTACAATCCCTCAATAAATGATGACTAAATGCTCCATATACACATCTTCATATTTTTATCTGAACTTTGACCTCTATGTGTGACCTTGACCTTGGCCCCAAGGACCTGAATCTTGCGCGCGACACTCCGCCTCACAATGGTGAACATTTGTGCCAAGTTATATTGAAATCCCCCTATGAATGTAGAAGTTTTGCTCCGGACAAGCGTTTTTCAATGAGCTCTAAGTGTGACCTTGACCTTTGACCTAGAGACCGGGTTCATGTGCGAGACACTGCTCCTCATAGTGGTGAACATTTCTATGAAGTTTCATTAAAATCCCTCCATACATGTAGAGAATATGCTCCGGACAAAATTGGACGCCGCCCGCCCGCCAGGGGCGTTCCCATAATACGTCCCGTTTTTCAAACGGGCGTATAATAAAAAACTTATAGTGAAAAAGCGTAAAAATTCAAATCAGAAATCTTGAAATTCAGTCTATTTGTTGCCATAGCAACCATAATTTTCAACATAGGAAGAAAAGAAAATGACATTCATAATCTCCATACTGCCATTTATCCATATATCCAGTTTCATAAAAATATTTTCAGTGCTTTTTGCGTTATCGCGGGATCCAGTTTTGTGGACGGACAGACTGATGGAATGACAGACAGATAGACAGACAGACGGATGGAGGGTAAACCTAAAACTAATTATTGTCCTGAAACCATTTCCAATTTGAAGTCACAGTGACTGTGATCCAAGGGATTCAAGTAACAATCCCAACCTGGTTTCCACATGAGGTTGCTATATACCAAGTTTGATTCCAATAACCCATTCCTATCTCTTGTTGTTTGCTGGAAATCATTTCTGTAAAACATACCGGATTTAGCCTTTTCATATTCTATATAACATACCTGATTTGGATTTCACATATTAAATTTGTATATTACATACCTGATTTTTTCTTATCATATTCTAAGTGTTTTTGTTGCTCGAGTCTTATCTCCTAGAAAATAAATAACAATACAAATAATTGTGTTTTATTTAGTACTTTTCAAAAATATCTATTGTACACAGTAATACAGGTATTTCCAGTCAGTTTGTTTAAAATACAGTGCAATATATCTAACAAGAGCTGTCGGTAGGACAGCAACGCTCGACTATTCTTAGTGCTTGATAGTAAAAAAAAATGCTTGATACAGTTACCTCCTCCTGTTAACAGGTCGGGGTCATGATGGTGAACAAGTGTGCAAAGTTTCAAAGCCATATATCAATGGATTTTGAAAATATTTGAACTATTACAAAAACTTTAACGTAAATTCTAAGTCGAAAAAGGGGCATAATTCTGTCAAAATGCTTGATAGAGTTACCTCCTCCTGTCTACAGGTTGGGGTCATGATGGTGAACATTAAGTGTGCAAAGTTTCAAAGCTATATGTCAATGGACTTTGAAAATATTTGAACTATTACAAAAACTTTAACGGAAATTCTAAGTCGAAAAAGGGGCATAATTCTGTCAAAATGCTTGATAGAGTTACCTCCTCCTGTCTACAGATGCATCAATTGAACAACTTTGGTAGAGGACCTCTAGATGATGATACTTAATAAACACCAAATCTAGGTCTCATTATCATTAAACAAGCAATTATCATAGTATTGCAAGCAATCCATAAGTCCCCTACCGGGTAGAACCCCATCAGCATTCTTAATAGTGCTGCAAATCAGCCCATTTTACTAGCCTATTTAGAGGGGTAAGTGGTCTATGTCAGCCAACAGCAAGTTTCATATACCAAAATGTTCGTCTGGATCTGTAGTTTCTGGAATGGATATTCATTTGGCCCAACCCTGATGCGAAGCTAAGATATCCAAGATGGCGTCAAAGATGGCCGCCAAATCCCTAAATATTCTAGTATATTTACGTTGGCTTATTTCCTTTTTCAGTTTTGTAAATCAATTGAAATTTTACATAAAATTTCTTATTTTAAACTTACTCATGCTATAAATTTTGACTTTATTGACTTTTTTTCTAGTTTTCATCGCCTAATTTTAACGAAGAAGAAAAAATATGTTGCAAACTGGGTGTCCTTTTCTGAATATGTGTAACTTATTAGTTTTATTCCTGTTTAAACTGAATAACATTCATGATTTCCTTTAATACAGCTTTAAAACTATATCTTCACATATTTAGAATAAGTTAGAATAAGCGAACTATGCCATAAATGTGTTTTATTGATCTAAATTCATATACAAAGTGGGTGGGGTATTACGATCGGGGAGTCAACTTTAAATTAAATACTTTTTCGTTTTATTTTATAATAGTGATATTAAAAAAAACCAAACAATTTTATTTAATTGGTTAGTGATGAGACATCTGACCTTTCATAGAAAATGCCCTGCATGTGTGTCTAAATGTTGAAATATCTCTTTTATTTGTTTTATGCACACAATAAGGAACTAATTTACTGACCTGCAATTCGGTATTTGCGTTGACCTTGTGCTAGCCTTTTGTTAAGGATTTGTTTGCAAGTTTGTTTCTCCTTAGCCATAAGCATTTATTAGGAAATAATAATATCTATTTATTAACTTACAGAATTTCTCGGACAAGATTTATCTCCACAACCATTAAAACAATGCACTTGAAACTAAATAAATCTTTGAGATCATCATTGTAGGTTACTTCCCTCTAACATCTTTATGAATAAGATAATTTCTTTATTATGCAGGCTGTTGATTTTAAATATTCGAACGTGCTGTCTGACAAGCAGCTCTTGTTTTAAGGCATTGGCTTAACATATGATAATCTACAATTGAACCATATTTGAAGTTTTGTCATTATTGATGACGGATATTATATATATATTAAAATGTAAAATGTAATTTACTAGAACATTTAAAATGGGTAGGTTATTCAGTTTACAGCAAGAGAATTTTCTGCTAGACTGGATCTTAATTATGAATAAAATATTCAATATATATATATAAAATATATATATTGAGTGAATTGAAAATATATACTATAAGGGCAGTTTTCTTTTTAGCTCAACTATTTGATGGTTAAGGACAACTATCCTAGTCGCCCGAGCGTCGGCGTTAAAGTTTGCATACCATCTCAAAGTCCATTGACATATCGCTTTGAAACTTGCACACATGTTTACCCTCATGCCCTCCACTCGAGCACTGGAGGAGGTCTATCAAGCATTTTGACAGAATTATGCCCCTTTTTTCAACTTTGAATTTACATTACCACCTCAGATAATTTCAGAATTCCATCGACAAATTGCTTTGAGACCTTGTACACTTGTTCACCATCATAATCTCAACCTGTGTACAGAGGAGGTCACTGTATCAAGCTTTTTGTGTCGCCTCTACGGAGTAGTGGCGACATATAGGGATCACTTCTCCGTCGTCTGTCTGTCTGTCTGTCTGTCCATCCGTCCGTCACAAAACTTGTCCGGACTACTCCTCATAAACTACTGGTGCAATTTTATCCAAACTTTACAGGAATGATCAGTACCAAGTCTAGTTGTGCATATTGTCAGGATTTTCCGGTTCAATGATTTTTGTCAGAGTTATGGCCCTTTAATAATTTTTAATTTTAAAGTTTGTCCGGACTACTTCTCTTATTCCACTAATGCAATTTCAATGAAACTTTACAGGATTGATCTGTAGCTCAAGTCCTTGCGCATATTGCACGGGTTTTCCGGTTGAATGATTTTTGGCCGAGTTATGGCCCTTTGATAAAAAGGTTTCTTTTTTCTGTGTGTTGCCAGATACACAAAAGCTTGTCCGGACTACTCCTCATAAACTACTGGTGCAATTTCATCCAAACTTTACAGGAATGATCAGTACCAAGTCTAGTTGTGCATATTGTCAGCATTTTTCCGGTTCAATGATTTTTGTTTGAGTTATGGCCCTTTAATAATTTTTATTTTTAAAGTTTGTCCAGACTACTTCTCTTATACCACTTATGCAATTTCAATGAAACTTTACAGGATTGATCTGTAGCTCAAGTCCTTGCGCATATTGCACGGGTTTTCCGGTTGAATGATTTTTGGCCGAGTTATGGCCCTTTGATAAAAAGGTGTTTTTTTTCTGTGTGTTGCCAGATACGCAAAAGCTTGTCCGGACTACTCCTCATAAGCTACTGGTGCAATTTTATCCAAACTTTACAGGAATGATCAGTACAAAAGTGGTTAGTCTAGTTGTGCACTGTCCGTCTGTCTGTCCGTCTGTCACAAAATTTGTCCCAACATGAAATTGGCCATCATCAGGCGACACATGTGATTACTGATCGCTCTTGTTTTTTTACAATATTATGTCCCAATTTTTTTACTATCAAGCACTGAGAATAGTCGAGCATTCTGACCTACTGACAGCTCCTGCGTATGATTTTGAGCATTTTGTTTCAAGTTTGTTGTTAACTTCATAGGAGGAATTAAGAAGAGCTTTCAATTGGACGAAAATAGTTAACCTTTTCCCTGGCGGGTACTTGAGAGTAATACTATGTGCTTTGGGGGGGCGTAGAGAAATATGCACTTTCCAGTACCGTCCATGAACAGGCTCAATCAAACCGAGTCTGCAGGTTAACAATGTAATGATTATAGGTCCTTCGGGATGGTGGTGTTTGTGTCGGTAGTTTTCAATCCGGATCACGACAGAAACCATATTGAATGTACCAGAGCATACATGTAGTTCAGCCACCGAATCGTTCCTGGACAGGCTGTCAAGCAGTTTACCAGTACTAGTTGCCCTCACTTTTGCAAGGAACTGAAACTTCTGTACATGGCAGAACAGTAGTACAGTGCGAATAACCGTAGAAACTATTTCATGATCAATTACAACGAAAGTGACCTGCCCCGTCCGGGAATCAAACACTGGATCAAACACATTCACAGTCCAACGCTCTACCTATTGAGCTAACTGGACGACTAGGTCCTTCGGGATCATTGATTGCAAAACTTTTATAGTTGAGGATTGGGTACTACTTAGTCGGTACTAAGAGACGTGAGATATGGTCTCTCATGAACAGACCCCATCAAACATAGTTTGAATAATCAACTTTGCCATGTTTAATTGCTCTCAAGGGATCTTCTCTTTTCCTGATTTTCACAATCATTATGCCAATGACATGTTAGTTTACTTTATATTTAATTTTGTATATTTAAGATTATATGTTAAGTCTCTCTACTATTTCACAACCGAAGGCTATACGTTGCATTAAATAGCACTTACCGCTACCTATATGATATCCTTAACAAGAATAATCAAATTTGATCAAGTGAAATCTTAAATTCATTTGTATATCCAAGTGAACGTAAAATGATTATAACAAACTCTGCGGATGTTTCTAAATTCAAAATTTTACTATTTCATGTTTAAATGTTGAATTCTGCTTAAGCCGGTGCTAGGGGGCGTGGACGGTAACTTGCACTTTCCAGTACCGTCCATGAACAGGCTCAATCAAACCGAGCCTGTAACATTTTCAATTTTGCCGTGTTGGGCTTTCTTTAGGGATTCTGTATTTATCTATCTTAATATTTCAAATTTAAATATTTCTATCATTAACAATAACACAGTAACTAAAATCTATGATAATTGTTTTTTTTTAAATACATGTAACATTGTTAACTGTTCACAAGTACTTCATGCAACATCATATTGGGTATATATATTTCTAGGTTTAAATTAGATTTGCCTGGGCCTGCTGTCGTGTGGATGATTCTAATGAACGCAATTTATTTATTACTGGCTATCGCTATCATAAATTACGTAAATATTTTACAAAGTCCTGTCGTTGTAAATCAGATATATTTAAAATTTAATTGTACTTTAAAAACTCTTTTACGTCTAGGCATAAGCAGGCCTGATTTATGTGGAGCTGACAGCTTATCTGTGGCATGCAGGCTTCATAACCTCTGATCCCTTTTCAAAATTCTATTTAATTAGTTACGCTCATTGTTTTCTTGTTTAGGGCACACACATTCTTGTACTTGGGGACCATACGCCGCTTTTATGGAATGACACTAACGTGTCACATTGAAGGTTCCATGATAACCACATTATAAGCGCGTATGCGATTGTTTCTTAATCCAAAAGTTCACCAAGTTGAATTCTGCTTAATTCGGTGCTAGGGGGCGTGTACTGTAGTTTGCACTTGACAGTGCCTTTCATGAACAGGCTCAATCAAACCGAGCCTGCAACATTTTCATTTTTGAGGTTTGTGAGTTCTTAATTGTTTTAATTTCGTCTTCTGTCTTGGTAAGTGATGTTCTTGTTGTTCTGCCTTCATTTAAGGCATGGAGTACTTTGGTTATGGTAATTAGGCTGTACCTTAATTGTACATATTTACACGATCATGTATTCTTTTATTTATTTCGTGTAATGTAACCATAACAATTGTTAGAATTTTACTTGGCGGGGATTTATTTTATTTACACTGTGTCGTCATATAGGAACATACCGGTAGTGGTAATTGCAAGTTACTATCCACACCCCTAGCACCGGCTTAAGCACAATTCTCAATTTTACATAAACTGGTACACTTAAAGGAAGTGAAGACATGTCTATAGATGTATTCATACGAAAGTGATCATGGTATCTTCAATGTAAAATGTTCGTGCAATTTCACGAGATACAACATATTGTCCACAAGAAATAGAGAACAATGGGGAATACTAAATAAAATGGATTTATAAAACAGGATCAAATGTCAAAATATAATCTTTAAAAGCTGGAACATATCCAAAGGGTTATTATACACTATTTACCCAAAGGGTTGTTATACACTATTTAAAAGAAATACTAGAACCACACAACTCTAAAAAGGTCAATTAGAAGGAATTTAAATAACACAAACACAATTATAATGCCAAGCTGAATGATTTTCATATAGACATTATGTTTTATCCGACTACTATGCATGTTTCATGAAACCGAATGATCAAAATATCAAACTTTTTAAATGAGTGTTTTGTCAATTTAAGAAACTTTAAAAAATAAATTACATTTCATTTGACATAAAAAGGTGTGTAACATATAAATAAATGAACAGAGGTTGTTTTGCATACATTGTACTTTTCAAATCCTAAGGTTAACTTACAATAAAATCATGCTTATTAAATTGGTAACACATTTTTGAACAGATTTTTAGATCTGGCAGGATACCTGTAATAGTATCACACTTTGAAAATCACTTTGTGTTTATTAACTTACGTAAATATTGTCATTTCATATAATCAGTATAATCGAGGGGTCAGAGTTTCTCAAGATTTCTATTCGCATCTACTAAAAATAGTGGGTAGGGTACGATCTAAACAGAATTCATTAAATAACCAGAAGCAAATTATCACATTCCTTGTTAATTATGTTAGTCAGTTACATGGACTGCACTAAAGAAGCTATAATTTGACAGAAAACACAACATTTGGGGAAATAATTGATAGAACAAATTAGTACCAGTTACAACCTTACATTGAAAGACTATTTTAATGTACCGCATCTCATTTTATATGTCTTACTGCATAATTACAAAGAAAGATTTCTTAAGATATGATATGAATGCATTAAAGCATTAACTCTCATGAATATATAACAATAATGGAATAACAAAATAATTAATAGATATTTCTCTGTTTAAGCTAAGACAAGAGTACCATAGCAAAAACCCATATGTTTAGCATAATTTTGCTTATTTACGTATAAAAAAGCAAAAAGCAATCGGTTTTCTCCAATAAAATTAAATCTCTTCGTATAAAACGCTTTAAATGATATCTTCCGTGCAAAAATTTCACTTGAAATACAAAAGCGGAAACAAATATGAGCAAATATTAATATTCTAGAATATTTAGGGATTTGGCGGCCATCTTTGACGCCATCTTGGATTTTTCAGCTACGCATCAGACTTGAACCAAATGAATATTCATTCCGGAAACTAGAGACCCAGACGAACAATTTGGTATATAAAACTTGCTGTTGGCTGAGATAGACCACTTCGGTGTCAATTTACCCTGTGAATTTGCAGCACTATAAGGGCCATTGGCCATTCACTAATGTTTCAATTTTTCTCTATTTTAAGTAAATTTGTAGGAAAAGTTCTTTAAAAGTGATCACAGGAAACAGTTTTTATGAACAGACAGAAAGACGGACTGAAGGACACTCTAAAGTTAATATTTGAAACATCCTTGTTACCAAAATATAACATTTTTAAAAGCAAAATTCTTAAAGAGGAGATAACTCTTGAATTAAAGATGCAATTTCATAAAAGATTTCAGCTCTTTTTGACTTATCAAAAATATTGTTATATTTGCCATGTTTTAAGCCTATTTGTTGCCATGGCAACCAATTTTTTTCAAAATAGGAAGAAAAGATATGACATACATAATCTCCAGACTACAATCTACCCATTATGTCAAGTTTTATAAAAATATTTCCAGTACTTTTTGAGTTATCACTGGATTCATTTTATGTGTAAAATTTGCCATATTTTCAGTCTATATGTTGCCATGGCAACCAGAATTTTCAATATAGGAAGAAAGGAAAAAGATGTGCATAATCTCTAGACTGCCACCTACCCATATTTTAAGTTTCATAAAAATACTCCAGTACTTTTTGTGTTATCACTGGATCCAGTTTATGTGTAAATTTGACATATTTTCAGCATATTTGTTGCCATAGCAACCAAAATTTTCAATGTAGGAAGAAAAGAAAAAGACGTGCATAATCCCCATACTGCCATCTATCCATATATCAAGTTTCATAAAAATATTTTCAGTACTTTTCATGTTATCACGTGATCCAGTTTTGTGGACGGACTGGTGGACTGACAGACAGACAGACGGACAGATGGTAAACCTAAAGTCCCCTCCGGTTAACAGGTAGGGGACTACTAAAAAGGTTTTTGAATTATCCATTTCTAGCTATGTGACCTTCTTATGAAATAAACCTGTACAATTTGAACAACTCTGAAAAGTGACCAGCTAATAATGCTCATTATTTCTTTTGGTAATATACTATATCTGTTTATAAGCAGATGTTTAAAAAAATTGATGCACAGCAAACAGAGCGCAATCACAATAACTAACCATAAGCAAATTGTGCTCAGGTGAGGTAAAATGTAGATAACAACAAAATGGGCATCATAAAATCAAAAGAAAAACAAACTTTCTAACGTTATTGTGTTCCTTGACAAGCTAATAATACTGGTCTGCTATACAAACATTAGTTTTTTTTTAAACCATGGTTGTATTGGAATACATTTATTGGTATATCAACTTGAAACAAACAAAAGGAAAACATTTTTTACCTGTATTTTCTCTGTTATAACTGCCTCAGGTTCAGTAAACTTTCTTTTCTGTTCTTTCCCAGCCTCAAGTTGTCCCTCTCTTTCTTTTGCCAACTGTCCTTCAAGTTCAATAAATTTATTTTTGAGCTCCTCATATTCCTCTTCAGCTGCAGCATTTTCAGTAAATTCCCACATTTTTGTCATTTCATCTTTGATTTGTTTCAAAATTTCTTCAGAGCATTCAATAGTAATAGCATGGTCTTTTTGCTTTAGCTGATGAAAAAAAAAAAAAGGTTTCGTTTTCTTTCAGAGATAAAAATGTAGCTACATGATTTATAATACCGACTCTTCTATACAACAAAAATTATATATAGGGTCAAACTTTATTTCAAAATTATCTCAATTGGTTTTTTATTTTATCATGCAACTGCTATAGTAACTGCCCGATAACACTTGCCTGATAGTTATTTTTGATATCAGGTCATTTAAACCTGATATCAAAAATAAGCCCCGCCCATTTTAACGGCCTTTTTTCAATTGCTTATAACTGTTCTCATTTTCATCAGCATGTGATTTCTACAATGTAATCTCATACCCTTGCAAGTCTTGAATCAACATGCAATATTTATTTATTATTTCGATTTCAATTACGAATAAATAAGATAGCGAATAGTTAGCACCAACATAATGAAGTGACGTCATAATTCATATTGCAAATGACATCATTGATGTTCACGTCATACTATACATGTAATAAAAACAAACAGGCTAGGCGATTTTCAAATGTTTACTTTATTTCGCCTGATTATTATTTACTAGTAAGTAGTTGAACAAATTGTTTTGTTTAAACAAGAGGGCCATGATGGCCCTGAGGTCACTCACCTGTATAAAGGCACCCAGAGCGGGGTGAGTTTAAACCCCAGGGCTTTTATTTGAACAAACAAAATATAATGAAACAAGATTGCATTTGAGAAAAATGCTATGCCACCGCATGGGTCAAATTTCATTGCTGTACATCAAAGGACAAGAAAGTAGGTCACTGTCTCCTTGGGCAAGGCATAATTTTGACCAAAGGGTTTAATAACAATCTTGATACAGGTCCACCAAACAACATTTCAAGTCAAATATCTTAGCTATAATCTTTCTCCCATTCAGAAAACATTTGTTTTATTTTCTGTTTTTAATATGTGTACATACTGAGAATCACTGCTCCCAAACAGTGCCAATTTTTGACATTTGAACAACTTTGGTAGAGGACCTATAGATGATATTATATATCAAATATCAAAGCTCTATGCCTTGAACCTTCAGACAAAAATATATTTTTTTTTCACTATATGTACATAATGAAAATCAATGACCCCCGATGCGGAACCAATTTGGACCCCAGGGCTATAATTTGAACAATCTTGCTAGAGGTTCACTACACAATGTTTTATGCAAAATATCTTAACTCTTTCCTTTGTAAATTTAGAGAAGATGATTTTTTAAGTTTTAACTATATACATATATGATAAACCTATGGCTCCCAGGGGCGGGGCTAATTTTGACACAAGAGGCAAAATTTGGCAACTTTGGTAGAGTACCTTTAGATGATATCATTTAACAAATATTAAAGCTCTAAGCCTTGTACCTTCAGACAATAACATTTATTTATTTTTGAATATATGTATATATTGAAATCAATGACCCCAAGGGCGGGGGCAATTTTGACCCCAGGGCTATAATTTGAACAATCTTGCTAGAGGTTTACAACACAATGTTTCATGCAAGATATCTAACCTCTAGCATTTGTCAATTGCTAGAAGAATTTTTTTTAAGTTTTTACTATATACATATAAGGAAAACCAATGACCCCTGGGGCGGGGCCGATTTTGACCCCAGGGCTATAATTTGAACAATCTGGGTAGAGGTCTACCAGATAATGCCTTATGCAAAATATCTAAGCTCTTGACCTTTTGGGTCTTTACAAGAAGGTGTTTTAAGTTTTTACTATATGTACATATAGCGAAAAATCAATGACCCCGGGGCGGGCCGATTTTGACCCAAGGGCTATAATTTGAACAATCTTGGTAAGGGTCTACCAGATGATGCTGTATGCAAAATATCTAAGCTCTAGGCCTTTTGGGTTTTTACAAGAAGGTATTTAAAGTTTTTACTATATGTACATAGTGAAAATCAATGACCCCTGGGGCGGGGCCAATTTTGACCCCAGGGCTAAAATTTGAACAATGTTGTTAGAGGTCTACCAGACAATGCCTTATGCAAAATATCTATGCTCTAGGCATTTTGGGCTTTAACAAGAAGATTTTTTAAATTTATTCTTATAATTCCTTTTGGTTGCCATGGCAACCAGATTTCTGCATGGAATGAAATTCTTTGAACAACTTTGGAAGCCCTTCACCCAAGGAACAATCCTGCCAAGCTTGGTTGAAATTGGACTAGTAGTTTTTCAAAAGAAGATTTTTTAAGTTCACTATATAATCTATATAACACACACACAAACACACACACAGGTGAATCGCTATATGCCACCGCATCGCAGATTGCGGTGGCATAAAAACATATAATGAAAAACTATGACCTCCTTCTTCAACCCCCCCCCCCACGAGCAGGGCAAATTTTCACCCAAGGGCTTTTATTTGAACAAACTTGGTAGACACACATAAGAAGATGTTTCATGCATCTAAGCTCTAGCTCATTGGGTTTTTTTAAAAGAATATTTTTTAAGTTTTTACTATACACATATAGTTAAAACCAATGACTCCCCTAGGGCGGGGCCAATTTTGACCCCAGGGCTTTTATTTGAACAAACTTTGTAGACAATTACTAGAAGATGTTTCATTCTTAATATCTAAACTTTACATATTTGGTTCTTTTCAAAGAAGACTTTTAAGTTTTTGCTATACAAATATATAAGGAAAATCATTAACACCCGGGGCGGGGCCAATTTTGACTCCAGGGCTTTAATTTGAACAAACTTTGTAGACACTCACTAGAAGATGTTTCATGCTTAATATCTAAATTCCAGCTATTTTGGTTTTTTCAAAGAAGATTTTTTAAAGTTTTTGCTATATACATATAAGGAAAATCAATAACCCCCTGGGCGGGGCCAATTTTGACCCCAAGGCTTTTATTGAACAAACTTGGTAGACACCAATTAGAACATGTTTCATGCTAAATATCTTAGCTCTAGCTCTTTGAGTTCTTTAAAAGAAGATTTTTTAAGTTTTTACTATATGCATATAGGGAAAATCAATGACCCCCTGGGGCGGGGCCAATTTTGACCCCAGGGCTTTTATTTGAACAAACTTGGTAGACACTCATTAGAAGATGTTTCATGCTAAACCTCTAAACTTTAGCTCTTTGGGTTCTTTAAAAGAAGATTTTTTTAAGTTTTTACTATATGCATATTAGGATAATCAAAGACCCCTGGGGAGAGGCCAATTTTGACCCAAGGCCTTTTTTTTAACAAACTTGGTAGACACTCACTAGAAGATGTTTCATGCGTAATATCTAAACTCCAGCTATTCTGGGTTTTTTCAAAGAAGATTTTTTAAGGTTTTGCTTTACCTGTACATATAAGGAAAATCAATGACCCCCGGGACGGGGCCAATTTTGACCCCAGGGCTTTTATTTGAACAAACTTGGTAGACACCCATTAGAACATGTTTCATGCTGAATATCTTAGCTCTAGCTCTTTGAGTTCATTATAGGAAGATATTTTAAGGTTTTACTATATGCATATAGGGAAAATCAATGACCCCCTGGGGCAGGGCCAATTTTGACCCCAGGGCTTTTATTTGAACTAACTTGGTAGACACCCATTAGAACATGTTTCATGCTGAATATCTTCACTCTAGCTCTTTGAGTTCTTTATAGGAAGATTTTTTAAGCTTTTACTATATGCATATAGGGAAAATCAATGACCCCCTGGGGCAGGGCCAATTTTGACCCCCTGGGGCTGGGCCAATTTTGACCTAAGGGCTTTTATTTGAACAAACTTGGTAGACACTCATTAGAAGATGTTTCATGCCAAATATCTAAGCTCTAGCTCATAGGGTTTTTTCAAAGAAGATATTTAAAGTTTTTTCTTTCGGTTGCCATGGCAACCAGAGTTCTGCATGGAATGGAATTCTTTGTTAAGGCTTCACACAAGGAACATCCCTGTGAAGTTTCATTATGATCTGCCTTATGGTTTCAGAGGAGATGTCGTTTTAAAAGTGTGAACAGACAACAGACGACAGACGAAAGAGTGATCCAAATAGCTCACCCTGAGCATATGCTCAGGCGAGCTAAAAATGTAAAAATCTACTTTTAACATTGGTGACCTTGACATTGGTGACATTGACCTTGACTCAAATGACCCCTTACTATACCCAAAGAAGGAGGACCTCCATTGGCATGTTTGTATTAAACATGAAAGACATCAACCAAAAAATAAAGGCTGTATGAGCAAAAATGTTTAAATTTATTTTCTAAACCAGTGGCTTGACCCTAGAGACCACTTACTCCACAAAAAGTTAGAGGACCATTAAAGGTATCCACCTACCAAATATGCAAGATATCATTAAACTAGAAATGTGTCATCATGCCACGGATGCCCCCCGCATGCAGCCAAAATTTCAAATGTTATAATATTTAGTTCCAAATTTGTTTGCACAAATTATTTTTTTCATTCTAAGTTCAAAGCCCTTAAAACTTTTCAATGTTAACACAAACCATTTTTATACAATGTTCAAGGCACTGAAATTATTCAGTCTTAACCTTTTAAAAATAGCATATTGCATATTTGTAGCCAACATAATGGCTATATACATTTCCACAAAAGTATGAGTGCTGAAACTGAAAGTTCAAAATTTTTCCAACATTCAGGAAAGATCAGTTTGTCTAAAATCATTGAACCACGACCAAATTCAAACTTAAACTGCTTATTCCTAAGATGTATCTATATTATTTTCAAAGTGAAAGGGACATAACTCTGCCAAAAGATCATCAAACCATGACCAAATTCCAACTTGACCTGCGCATTCCTTTGACATATCCATATGTCAATTTTGAGTTGAATATGTAACACTGTTGGGTTGATAATGAACAGAAACTGTAAATTTCATATCATTTTCAAAGTGAAAGGGGCATTACTCTGCCAAAAATCATTGAACTATGACCAGATTCAAACTTGGTCTGCGCATTCCAAAAACATATCCATATGTCAAATTTGAGTTGAATGTGTAATATTGTTGGGGAGATAATAAACGGAAACTGAAAATTTC